TGGCCAGAACTTAAGGGAATAAAAGGGTGATGTCGTTTTGCCTTGTTTTTAGTGTTGTTGGATGCTTGAATCACCTGCAAAGATAGTATATAAATTGAACAACTCACCTTGATATCCGGTTGCATCTGATGTGGTTTGAACTTGATTCTTGGAGTAGAAGCTCTCTTTTGAGTCTTCAAGTTCCTCNTCCNCTTCTTCTTCTGATTCCNTCTCTTGATCAGTCGTGAAGATGTCTTCCTTGTCTTCGTTTTGTGTCGTGATTATTGCTTCAGAAATCTCTTGACGTTTCTTGGTAGAGCCAATGTCGTGATAGAGCTGTTTGGGTGATAATGATGCAACAAAGACTCGAACAGCATGGTTGATCCTTTTGGTTAATTGCTTGGACTTGGATCTTGTCATCGGACCGGGTTGAACTATGGGCATTGGAATTGGAGTTGGTTCGTGGTTTGAACCAATGTCCACATCAAATTTACTCATCAAAAGTGTTGTGAATTGCTTGAATTAACATAGATGGGTGAGGCGAGTTGTGAACAAATTGATCCTATCCTCTTTAATGCTCATCATTCTTTGTAATCTCAAACGACAGTTTAGAGTGTTAGATTGATTGATGAAGTGGTTGGTGCCACGACAGTGGATCCTCTTATTTTTATGGTTGAGTTCTAAATTGGTTCTTAATTGATATTCTGAATAATTGCTTGGTTCTAGATAACCTAATCCCTGAAATACTTTCCCTTGACCTAACGCTTTTAATATTATTTGTTTACACTGAATTTACTTCAATTGCTTGATTAATCGTGACAACTTAAACCACTTTGATCACTTAACTGAATTTGTATTCCATAGGATTAGAGTGTATTGCTGGTCCCTTTGAACGAACCTACCTATTCTACATCGGATTAGTAATTCTAGGTTGAAATCTTAGACTGGGTAAAACCTTTTTATCATAAAGCAAAAAAAAGAACCAAAAAAGAAACACTCGCTTACACGAATTCATTTCACTGATATACTTGAACTATGAGTGGCTTGATCCTTCTTCGTAGGGTAAAATTTACGAGTTCATTTCATAATGTTTTGATATTACTCTCAAATGAAGTAAAATTTAAATGAGATATATTTCTTGTTATAATTTTGTATTTACAACGATAAAGTACTCAAACATTCTTG